ACGCCAAAAAGCTAAAACTGGTGTTTTCTACTCTCCTGAGACTCAAAGATGAATTAACTGGAATGATCACTTTGTTTTGTATTTATCAATTTGACCGCTCTTATGAACTAAGTTATTGTTGGCCAAAGTTCTAGAAATCTATATCTTCGTGCTCGCGAGCATCTCCGAGAATGACTAAATAAAGGCGTAGAGTGAACAGCTCTATTGTAAACTAGTCACAGTGCCGGTATAAACCAATACTTCGCAATAATTCATCGGATCAGTACATTTTCACCAAAGTCGGTGCAACACAAAGTCTTCAAATGGCAGAAGCGATAGTCATTAGGATTAAAAAACCGGTGCTGCGTAGGAAACAAAAGATCTTCAACCACTCTCCTTACCTTGGCCAACTTCAGGACCAATTAATCATTAGTAATCTTAGCAAAAAGAGAATTGAATAATAAACGAGATTTCGAGTTCAGTAGGTGTTCTGTAACTTTAAACTATTATTATTACTGTTATATCTTGTGACCGCCGATTAGAGAGCAGTGACTTAACGATCGGACCAAGGACGCGTAAACACGTGCGAGCAGCCTAAAGTCCTGATTGGCCCTGCTTCCTGTCTAGCCCAGCCACTTAAGTCCAGAACACAAGTCTCAGTCTCTGCAATATGAATCATGTATTTCAAACATACTCTGTTTATATGCCAATCAAACAGACCACATCGTACCATAAAATAGAAAATAACATTTGTACTTGATTTGGCCAAATGTTGCTGTGAATGTGGGAGGTAGCGATTAATAGACAGAGAATAATTCAAGAATGGAAAATCTTATAATAACAGTTTATAGGTTAAAATAAAGCTTATGATAAGAGGGACATGAATATGAATAGCTTAGTTAATTAACAATTATATGGTAAAAATATACGCACAGTATTGGTCCAAAAATAGATCTAAAAGATCACCACTCATTATACAACTCGGCACACAACAATTACTTACGCCTGTTACTACTCGTCGAGGATCATAGGCCGCCCACCAGCATTCTCCATCCAACCCTGTCCTGAACAATCTTTTCAAGCTCGTTCCTGTTGTTATTCATCCTTTTCATATCTGATTCTATTTCCCGACGTAATGTGTTATTTGGGCTTCCTCTTTTCCGTTTCGTTTCAGGATTCTAAGTTAAGGATTGCCTCATGATACAGTTTGATGATTTGCGTAATGTATGTACTATCCATTTCCATCGTCTTTTCCTAATTTCCAATTCAGTTGGAAGTTGGTTTGTTCTCTACCACAGTAGGCTGTTACGAATGGTATCTGGCCAATGGGTGTTGATTATCTTGCTTAGACAACTATTTATAAATACTTGTACCTTCTTGATGGTGGTTGTATTAGTTCTCCAAGTTTCAGCTCCGTACAGTAGAACTTCCTTTACGTTCGTATTGAAGATTGTGACTTTGATATTGGTTGATAGACAGTTGTTTTGAGTTCCATATGTTCTTCAATTGTAGGAATGCGGCCCTTGCTTTGCCAATCCTCGCCTTTACGTCTGCATCTGAACCTCCTTGTTCATCGATGATGCTTCGCAGGTATGTGAAGGATTCTACATCTTCCAGAGTTTCGCCATCAAGAGTGACTGGATTGCTGTTCTTCGTTTTGAATTTGAGGACCTTGGTTTTCTCGTTGTGTATGCTGAGGCCTACTGATGCAGAGAGTGCTGCTACACTGGCTGTCTTTATCTGCATTTGTTCATGCCGCTTTACACAACCTTAAACCAATTTCAGATACATATAAGTAAAACAATTCAGTCGATTTGAACCAAGTATCAGTCATAAATAAAGTAAAACTTGGAGCAAATGTGATTCTATCCGACACAGTATACCATATTAGAATAATGAGATGAAATGAACAATGTCTTTAGGTTTACAATTGAAGTTATAATGGTAATTTCTATAATGATGAAAAAATTTCATGAATCTCTTCAGTTATTGGAATCATTGTCTTTCATTTGTTCACTTTTATCATTCTTACACAAACCTAAACCAAACAACAAGGTTGATTGTCGAAATGAGAGATGGTTAGACATATGAACCATTTCACTTAAAATACTCTAATCATAAAATGTAAACATTAGAATTCAGTCATCTTAACGACTGCGATCTAGATAATTCCAGAGTTTCGTTCAGTCAATTATTTGGAACTTCTTCAAAGGAAATATGATCGAAATCAACATTATCATATACATATATAAGGTATAAATCATTAAATAACACTAAAAGTTTTTTCAATCACATTGATCAAATCATAACATGAGGCGGGATCGTGGATACACACTGTTGAGGAGTCCCACAATAGGACGATAAAGCCATCCAATGCTCCCAGGTTTTCTATGATGGTATAACTTCAATGGACTCATAATCTTAACTATTACAATAATTAGTTATTATCATAGTAACTATTGATTAACAAGTCAATATAAAGATCGTAGGCATCCATCAATTAGAAAAAGGAATATCAACAATAATTGAATCTTCATATATATTTGATTTATTGATCATTTTCATTCATTGAATTGAATTTCAATTCAACTGATTCATATTACTCAAATATACTTTCAGATTATAAATAAAGATAATGATAATAATTGCTTATTGTTCTGTAATAACAACAGTCAGCATCATTGATGAACAGGGTGGATCTGATGCAGATGTGAAGGCACGGATCGGCAAAGCAAGAGCAACATATTTACAACTGAGGAACATCTGGAACTCAAAGCAACTGTCAACCAACACCAAGGTCAGGATTTTCAATACAAATGTCAAGACAGTTCTACTGTATGGGGCAAAAACTTGGAGAACCACTAAAGCCATCATCCAGAAGATTCAAGTGTTTATTGACAGTTGTCTACACAAAATACTTCAGATCTATTGGCCGGACACTATTAGCAACAACGTACTGTGGGAGAGAACAAACCAGATCCCAGTGGAGGAAGAAATCAGGAAGAAGCGCTGGAAGTGGACAGGACACACATTGAGGAAAGTACCCAACTGCGTCACAAGACAAGCCCTCACGTGGAATCCTCAAGGCTAATGGAAGAGAAGAGGAAGACCAAAGAACACATTACGCTGAGAAATGGAAATAGACATGAGAAAAATGAACAAGAATTGGATGGAACTAGAAGGGAAGGCCCAGGACAGAGTGGGTTGGAGAATGCTGGTCGGCGGCCTATGCTCCATTGGGAGTAACAGGAGTAAGTAAGTAAGTAAGTAAGTAATAACAACAGTCTGCAGATACATGCTCACACACACATACACACACAGAGAGACTTACTGATATCTATAACATGGATAAACAATTACTATATCAGTTGGTTTCATTAACCTATTATAAACAAAAGTGACCTTTTACTGGATAAGCTTTAATTCTAATTTTATTACATTTGATGAAGTCTTGGCACTCAGTTCAATCAGCAATCAATAGACATATTGAAATTGATCCAATTTATCAACCAATCAGAAAAACTATGGACAAATATAGGACCGAGAACCAAATCAATGGGAGATACAATCAAAATAAAGTAAACAATGTGCTATGCTTGAAGAGATTACGAGTTCACCTTATCTGAGAACGGAACGAAGACCTTGTGACACAATCACCAATAAGCTAGCTATTCCCGACGCGTACCAGCCCCGCGAACTAGAGAGAGAAGTCCAAGTTCAGAAGAGGGAAATATATTCCACAAGCAGTCAGAAGCACTAACAACAACAACAAACACAAATCAAGAGTGTATATACAGCATAAAAATGTCCTTGGGAAGCGTTACAAAATAGCATACTAAAACGTACAACGAACCAATAGTGTTGTTAAGTTTGTCTTAGATTGTTCCTGCTCATTCCCTTTCTACTCTTCTATATATTGTTTTATGCTACTCATTTACATTCAGTAAGCAGTCGTAGTCCTAACAATTTTCAAACTTACATTGTAACGCGAGTTGTTCTGTAATACTCTGAATTGTTCACATATACTTATAACGTTTATTGTACTTATCATTGTATTTATCATTATAATTACTGTATCTTAATCACTGTAACCGTTATCCACAGTTTTGTGCATTTGTTTAAACGCAACAGTTTCCATATTGCTTTGCCCTCGGTTCGAGTTTCGATTGCTCATAAACTGTTATTCAATTTAGACACAGCTATCGGCTGTCTTTGTACTATAGTATGTTATGATTATTCTTTATGTTACTCTTACAGGAAGCCTTTGTTATTTTCATTCTTGGAGGACGCGTTTAAACACCTAGACACCTCACAAGTTGAGGTTTGTAACTAAATTCTGTGTATTATTTAATAAAGAACCGCTTTTGTAGACAAATCGTTGTTTTGGAACTTCGATTTTGCGCGTATCTCAATCGGGGTTACTTGGACGCTTCGATAGAATTAACAAGTGTTTAAGATCCTCTCAGGTGACAAATACAACATGAAGGCGAAAATGAACGTTTTTGGCGCGAAAACAAGAAATCCAAATTTTTAAAATAGAATTACAGAAATAAAGTATTTATCAATCAAGTGAATTCTGTGGATCTAACATCTTCAACACAATAACAGGTTAAAAGTCAATAATAACCAATCAAGACTAAGGTCTACAACACAAGTTATGAGTCATATGTGAAGAGATTCGAACACTTCACTTCTACCTGAAATTTTTGCTGATACTGTTGTTCAGAAGAAAAGAAAACACAATGAAAGCACCACGACATAACCATCTAATTCAGACAACAAAACTCCATCAAAATCATCCGCCTAAACTACAAATTCTTCTCGATTATCTAAATTTTAAAATTTCTATATTTATTTCTTTGATCATTTCCCTTTGAAGAATTAAAGACCAGTTTTACCAAGATAATAAAAAAACATTAGAATTATTTAAATTGAAATCAATCAAATTATTTGAAACATTTACTAACTTCTAAGTATTCAATGTTGAATTTCTGCTGAAATCTTGACGACGACGACGACGACGACTGGAATACTTAAATCATTAACATAACTTGATTCACTACTTGATCCACTACCATTATTGTTTACAGAAATAAAAGAACATAAATAATAATCGGGATGGGGGAGTTGGGGAAGAGTGAATGGGGTGGATGAGCATAAAATTTCATTTTAATCACAGCTACAAGCTTTATTCAATTTTTTCTAATGTATATGGAAACTATACAAAAATTACATTGAACATATTGACTAGAAGAATGGAGTACAATAATACAATGAAACATCTTTGCAAGATGTTTGTTTGTTTGTTTTTTTTTACAATAGATTATTTATGTAATAATAGACAAATTCATGAAATTAACTTTTTAATTTTGGTAAATGAATTTGTTGAACATGACTTCGTAGAAATGGACGCCAACCACGAATTAATTGTTGATTTTGACTAAGATAACGTTGACATTCATACCAATGATGAAAAGAATTCGATTCAGTAGCACCAATTAAATTTGCACCATGTACAGCCATAACACAACCGGTTAACTAATGAAGAGAAAATATATTGATAAAATAAGATATAATATTGATGATAGTTAATAATAGTATTTCTAAATTATAGTGTCAACTCATTACTACTCAAGAGTTGAAGATTACAATAGTTGAGATCATGAGTCAATTGAAGCTAGATCATCACGGGAAACCTGAAAGCACTGCACAGCCGTTTCGTCCTACTGTGGGACTCCTCAGCAGTGCGCATCCACGACCCCGCCTCGCGAAATTCGGACCCAGGACCTATCAGTCTCGCGCGCGCGGGACTAATCATGTAATCTGTTTCATGACTATTAGAATTGAGGTTTATTTAGTTATTTTATTTATTTTAACACATAGATATTCGTACAAGGAGGCACCAAATACATATGCGTCACATAAATCTCATTTGATTTGTGTAAGGGCTGTGATAGTGCCCGGGTGCCCAGACCGAGGCAGGTGGTTTTCTTAGGGGGCCACACCCCGAGCCTTCGACCTGAAGGTCTGATCCACAAGGTAGTTGAGCAACGTCAGGAGATGCAGTCCCATGGAAGCCGGTGACCAACAATTGGTTCATACGCCATTTGTTCCCGCAGGATACTGGTACCCATGTGCACCATTGGTTTGGAATCCGGTTAAAACGCTGGACATTCGCTTTTCGTCCTCTCATTTTCGTAAACAACGCCCTCGTCACGAGAAGGCAGTGAGTAGGACTTCTCTGGCAGAAGCTATATCTGAGTGGCTGTGTGAGAGCATTTCGAGAGGGAGAGCATACTCTCCCCACTCTCGGCCGTACCAGGGCATTTGGGGGCTTGGAAAAGTCAAAGTCAAACAAACATATTACTTTCAAAATACTTCTCATTTGTGACAATACAAATGTCGCATTATCCATTTCTATTGTTCAAAACATTCATGAAAGTTATTGGAAGTCTCTTCTTAAAACCACAGTTTAATGAAGATATGACCAGTGATGATGTCCTTCATAACAGACTAGTGAGAGTTATTAAAAGGAATTTTTATGCAACTAATCCTAATTTACGATTTCCCAGTAAATCGGTAGTGTTTACTGAAATAAAGGATAATTTAGCTGATTTTACCACTTTGATGTGTATTTACCGATCCAGCTCTTCTTACAGCGAAAGCTCTATCACGTGTATCATGAAGGAATTTAGCCAACAAATGAGTGAACATCTCTCTGTGAGTGGTTTGGGAAAAGTCAAACAAACTTCATCTTCTATATGGTTGGTAGATATGAAATTACAGATATATCTGATCACCTGCGTCAACACTAGATGAACAATGCGGAACAGACGTTTTTTTCTCGTGGTAAACAACAGGGAAAAGTAGTGAATGAAATATGATACATGGAATATATATATAGGGTATTTATTTGTCATGGAATCCTGAAGGTCAAAGGAAAAGAGGAAGACTAAAGAACACATTACGTCGAGAAATGGAGATAGACATGAGAAAAATGAACAAGAATTGGATGGAACTAGAAGGGAAGGCCCAGGACAGAGTGGGTTGGAGAATGCTGGTCGGCGGCCTATGCTCCATTGGGAGTAACAGGCGTAAGTAAGTAAGTAAGTAATAGAGAAACGTTCTTAGTAAAATAAATAAATCTGTTCAAAACTGAGTCTATTAGTTGGTCAAATATAATCAGCAAGATATTATGAATGTAGACTTCATCCTATATTAAAAGTTATCAGTAATACATATCTGGAAATGTTAAGCATAATCGTATCCCCTTCTCGTGTGATTCGAATTCACATGACATAGTGAAACAGTGAAGGAGATTATCATTGAGGTAGTTGAACATTCGCTTACATTAGGACTAATAATAGAAATAATAGTTGTATTTAATACTTTATATTTCGTCACCGTAAGGCGTTCTCAACGGAAAACATGTAGTGTTGTGTTAAATTCTGCTTTGATATATGTATATCATTTATAACCATGCAAAAAATGTACTCGAACAGTGTTTATCTGTCATTTATCTTTAACTATGAATGTTTTCGACTATTTTCACATTGCATATTATGTTTAATATATAAATCTTAATCTATTCTCCTCACATCTATTTGACGAATAGATAAGAAGCAAATTATACAAACATGCAAGATGTTTCCATCTATATCTTTCAGTATCATAATAGATTGTGAGCTTTTCTGTTTTAGAAAAGTGTATAATTACAGTGTGTCATTCAAGAACAAAACAACTGTGTTAAAATAAATCTAAAATGCGAAAATTTATTATGGCAGCTATTCAATCTTAGAATAGGTAACCTAAAAGTTTGAAAAGGTCATTTAAACTCGCATCTGCTGGGACCACCAGGTAAGTAATAGTGACGTTAGACGCAGGGTATTAGGGAATGATGATAAATCATTTGATGAGGTTGTGAATCTTCATCGACTAAGATGGTTGGGCCACGTGTTACGTATGCCTGAGCACCGATTACCACAACGTGCAATGCTGACTAGTGTTGGGGATGGTTGGAAGAAAGTTAGGGGCGACCAAACCAAAAGGTGACATCAGTGCTTGAAGACACTAACATCTGGTCTGAGTCATGTTGGTAGATGCAGACTACTTGGTTGGGGTCCGCGTGACTATCGTAACCAATGATTGGAGACTCTTGGTGACATGGCTCAGAATCGATCACAATGGCGTCGGTGCATACACTCTCTGTCTTCCCTTAAACTATGAAATTAAAATCGCTTCATATCTTTCTTTCTACGTACTAGACCTTTCTTCCTGTACTATATCCTTATACACAATCTTTCTTTTATATATTACCACCATTGACTTAACCAGTTCTATGAATCTGGTGTTCATCTTGTTGTGCTAATGAAGTATGGCAACTTAGACCGACGCACATATGTGCCTGCCTGGTCCTACGTTGTAGCTGACTGACTGAATTAAACTACCTAAACAACACAAAATCAGTTTTTTAGTGATATTTTTCTCTTTGAGTGAGGCAGTTTAATTGAAAGCTTCCACTATCACTATGCTAAACATCACATAGGCTTCCATACAACAAAGTATAAGCAGATAATTTTGTTCAGAACTATAATGAACATAACCCTAACTAAAAGTATTCATTTAAGCTGAATAGCTCCTGAATCATTTCCAAATAATTGTCAACTGATTAATACAACGGTAAAAATTGAAGCCTTTTGATGTGATCTTACTTTTACAATGATTGGAAAATAATAATTCTGATTCTTTAGAAAGAAAAAAACCTCATATCAACCAGTGAAATAAAAGAATTCCTCGACACTTCACATGACTACTACTACTATTACTACTATTACTACTACTCATCACATTAAACTTACTTCAAATGGATAAGTATAATTATGTAATGTATAGTATAATAATACACGTAAAATATTCATATTTTCAGTAGATCTTCTACCTAATCCAAATATTAATAATCTGACCAGACGACAAGAACAATAATAAGCTGATGTTAAAATCATTTCACCAATTAAACGTGGTATAAAACCCTTTGAATAATAGAAGAAAATAAAAGAAGAAAAATCAAATGAATATAAATATTTTATAAATAAATAAATAAAAATAAAAATAAAACATGACTATGGCATTAGTTCATGAAATCCATCGACAATTGAACTTAACCATCTTAATAAATACAGACTATCTGGTTGGAGTTCGCGTGATTATGGTAACTAATGGTTAAAGACTATTAAATTGCGATACAACGAATCATTGTTGGACAATCAGTTGAATAAAACTCGTCACTATACATCAACTTCCTTGACTATGAGAAAGTAGATAGAAGGACCTTATAGAACCTTCTTCGACACTATGGAGTACCTAAAAAAAGTCGTCAATATCATACGGAATTAATACGACGGACTATATTGAAAAGTGGTGAATGGAGGATAGCTGACAGACGCACTCCAAGTGATGACCGGTGTCAGATAAGACTGTCAACTCTCCCTCTTTCTCTTCTTTCTGGTGGTTGACTCGATTATGAAAACCTCGACATCTGAGGGGAAGCGCAGAACACAATGAACAGTATGGATGCAACTGGATGACTTGGACCTTGCAGATGACCTATCTCTTCCATCCTATACACATCGACAAATGCAGGTAAAGACAAACAGTGTATCAGAGGTCTTTACCGCAGTAGGCCTCAACATACACATGGGAAAAACCAAGATCCTTAAATACAACATAGAGAACACAAAACCGATCACACTTAGTAGAGGAACTCTGGAAGAGATGGAACCTTTCATATGTCTAGGTAGCATCATTGATAAGCTGGGAGGATCTAATGCAAAAGTAAAGGCAAGGATTGGCAAAACAAGGACAGCATTCTTACAGTTGAAGAAAATATGGAATTTAAAACAACTATCAATCGATATAAAACTTGAAATCTTCAATACGAGCGCCAAGACAGTCCTAATGTACGGGGCTGAAACTTGGAGAAAGCTTCCAACTAAAGAGGAAATTAGGAAAAAACGTTGGAGGTGGATAGGACAAACACTGTGGAAATCACCAAACTGAATCACGAGGCGAGCACCAACTTGGAATCCTGAAGGAAGAAGAAAAAGAGGAAGACCAAGCAACACAATGCGTCGAAAGGTGGAGGCAGACATTAGAAGAATGAATAGCAACTGGAAAGTGTTGCCCAGGATAGAATTGGTTGCAGAATCCTGGTGGGCGGTCTATGCTCATCTACGAAGGGTAACAGGCGTAAGTGACCAAGTAAATTAATTGATTATCGATCATGAATAAAACTGTAAATAGTACAAACCTACATCTGTCAAAGTTGTTTGACAACATCAGCACTATCAGTTAAAATTAAAAAGATGGATAGAAAATAATTTGAAATAACAATAACAGTGTAAATTACGCTAAGAAACTAAACATTAAAATATGGTTTGCAAAGAAAGAATACAAGTGAGAAATCAAAACACGAGATATTAATGAGACTGAATTAGTATTTCTTTAGTCAAAATGTTGGCTTATAGTGACTCACGTGCAAATGAGTTTAGTCTCATCTAACGCAGTTAACCCCTTTTGCTAACTCATTTAGCGGACAAAGTCATCCGCACTATAACAACTTATTGTACCCTTATTATTTTGTGCTTGTATGAAATACGTATGATTGAATATTACTTACGGCCTACGCATTTATTCACTCTGCTAGTCTTACTACTAACTGCTTATTTGATTCGATTGCTCATTCATTTCACATGGTATATATATGTCCATGTTATTCATATTCAACACACACTCACTCACTCACACACTCTCGTCTCGCTCTTGCTCTGGCTCCCGCTCGCTTGCTTGCCTTTCGGCACAACTCTTCTATGCTCGTTTAACGCATCTGTATATTTGGATATATATGTGTGGTCTCGCAATAAACGTAATCAACACTTCGTATTTGCCTTCTGATTAATATACCGTTGGGGCGTTATGTAGAACGGTTATCAAGACGAACTGTATACGAATACCGACCACCACAGGCTCTCATATGATACATTTAGCTTACAGGCTAAGTATGCTTGATCGGTACACGTCTCAAGTTTAAATTAATCTAATAGTAGCTGAGTAGTACATGTTTGTATATTTAGCTTTGAATTCTACACATTTTACGTACGATGGGTTACCCGAATCGAAGTGCAGGAAGCTAATCATTACACGAGAGAACGAGACAGGAATCAATAAAACGTATTATAGGATAAAACAATCATCGCCTACCTGGAAAAATCCTAAAATACCATTTTCACGATAAACAGCTCGAACAGCCATAGGAAAAAATGTATACTGAGTTTCCTTGCCAATCAAAGCTGCAATCTGTCGAACAGTAATCACTGAATTAATAAAACATAGACTATTATGTGGTTTCTAACATTTTAAAAGATAACAAATTAAAGAACAAGAATTAGTAGATATCTAAAATACTTTTTTTTGTGTGATCTACAATCTCTATGCAATATATATACTTTACCTGTTAATACATGTAAACGTTCTTGAATAAGTTGTATGTTGAATTATCTGCGTAACTCTTAAACCTTACGACTAGCGTTGTGGATTTGGAATCTAGGAAAAAGTATGTTACTTTTAAAGTCAACAATTTTGAACCCTTTTTTCTGTCTTTGGGAAGATAGCATCACTGCAGATGTTGATTGTATGTCGAAAATACTGATTCGCCATCAAGTCTTAATTTAATTGACTTGTTAGGAATTATAGGATCTCGATAAAAATGAATGTTTTAATCAATACAGCTTAACTGGATCACTGTGATGAAGAAACTTGACCATCACATTGAAACAGTAATCAAGATTGAAGGACATTTAATAGGCTTTAATGGACAAGTTGATATTTAGTCAAAAGTATATTATTAACCTAAGAAAATATTCAAAATTATGATCACGGATATGAATGGATTATTCTAATATTTAGTAGTTCATAAAGAGATTTGGTATAAAGATACAATGATTAATTGATTACTGACATAATCAAATGAATATGGTTTGAAACATGGCATGACAACGTAGATGAAGGTGCACATAATCTAATATTTTTAACAAAAATACAAATCTATCCAAAAATTTGTTGCATACGTATCTGTCTAGATCTATAATTTTGACTGGAATATTGGAAAGTCCAAAAGTATCTAAGCTCCAGAAAAGAATTAATTTGTAATAATAATTAGTAGTTCTCAACAGTCACCTTGTGTTATTGCTATAGTAAGGATAATCTGCTGAAAATCTTATGCAACAGGTTAATCAATCTTAACAATAAGTTGAAAGAAGTTTGAGAAAGGCTACAAAATAACATGATACTAGTCTACAACATTAGTCCCAGATGTGTAAAAAGTTAGAAACTTCCAGGTAGGATTGCGTGAGATCCTCGTAAATCGTGATTATAGAACTTAAGGAGCCATAGCTATAACTTAGTTGCCCCCAAATGCTCTGGTATGGCCGAGAGTGGGGTGCACCCGCCCTCCTCGAAATGCGCTCACATGGTCACGCGTATACAGCCTCTGCCAGGGAAGTCCTACTCACTGCCTTCTCGTGACGAGGGTGTTGTTTACGAAAATGAGAGGATGAAAAGCGAACGTCTGGCGCTTTAACCGGATTCCAAACCAATGGTGCACATGGGCTCCAGTATCCTGAGGGAACAAATAGCGTATGAAACAATCGTTGGTATTCGTATTTGGTGGTTGCACTCAATTTTCAACCGGACAGTGACTCGAGAACGTTTAGATAGAACCGAGTTTCCACCACAGGCGAGCTACTGTATAAGTCAAAAAATAAGGATACACAGAGTGGGAATAAAAGAGAGTGAATAAGTGACGTAGTAAATAAAGATAATAATAATAATAATAATAATAATAATAATAATAATAATAATAATAATAATAATAATAATAATAATGTGAATTGTTTGACTGGAAATCGAAGCAAAAATAGAATTTTCCGTAAATATCGTCATCTTCATTTTATTTGTGTGTGAGCTGTGATACTGCCCGGGTGCCCAGACCGAGGCAGGTGGTTTTCTTAGGGGGCCACACTCCGAGTCATTGACATAATAGTCTGACCCACCAGGCAGTTGAGCAACGTCAGGAGATGCAGTTCCATTCAAACTGGCTGTCTTCAACGTTCGCACACTAATGCAGATCGGACAACAGATAGGGCTGGCTATGTCTTTAGAAAGTCTTAATATCGACGTTTGTTGTCTATCCGAGACCCATATTCAAGACTCTGGTGAAGTACTGTAAATGAGCCCTCCATCTGTCGCTTCAAAAAGCTTGTTTGACGTGAGCTTATCCGGAGACCCTGTGGAATCTTCTTCTGGTCTTGCTGGCGTTCGTGTCGCACTAAGCGCTAAAGCTGAGGCAGCACTAATCGATTGGATCCCCATTAATAGTCGGTTATGTGCTGTTAGATTAGAGAGTTCCATCAAAGTGAGAAACCGGTGTGAGAAACGATGTCTTTTCGTTATCTCCGCCTATGCCCCGACAGATTGCAGCCCGGATGCAATCAAGGATGTTTTACAACCAGTTATGGGCACAATTCTTAGAAGGGCAGTTCAACTGGCTTGCTGCTCCGGAAACATCGGTCAGACTGTCCTGCCCTCCATGGCCGGTGACGACTGATCCACCAAACGAGGAGGAAGTCCGCAAGGAACTCCAACTCCTGAAGCGCTACAAATCACCGGGCCCAGATGACTTATCTCCGGCTCTTTTTAAAGATGGTGGTGACTTTCTGACTAAGGGACTGACGACGTTGTTTACAAAGGTCTGGGAACTAGAGAGTGTACCAACATCATGGAATGAGTCGATAGTTGTCCCTATCTTTAAAAAAGGTTGACGTCGTTCCTGTAACAACTATCGAAGGGTAAGTTTAGTTCCGATTGCATCCGACCTATTGGCTTCCGTCATACTTCATAGGTTGTTCAAAACCCGAGAAAGATTGACTCACGAGGAGCAGGCTGATTTTCGTTCCAGTCGAGGATGTATTGATCATATCTTCACCCTCCGCCAAATGTTAGAACACTGCCATACTTATTACAGGTCAACAATCGTAATGTTTCTTGACATCAGGGCTGCCTTCGATTCGTTGGACAGTACTGTTCTCTGGGATTGTCTATTGAAGAAGAGTGTGCCTGAGAAGTTTATTAACATCCTAAAGGCCCTATATACAAACACCTCAGGCAGAGTGAGGGCATACAACCACCTTTCTCCATTGTTCCATTCAAGCAGTGGGGCTAGACAGGGTTGCCCAATCTCACCATTCCTCGTCAACTTTGCCATCGATGACATTCTGGAAACTGCTCTGATGGAAGTAGGTAATGATGGTGTGGATTTGTTGCTTGTAGAAAGACTTCTCGACCTTGAGTATGCGGATGATATTGTCTTATTGTGCGATAGTGCCCAAGCCATGCAATCCTCACTTAATCAGTTGGCAATCAGTGTCCGTAGGTATGGTATGTGCTTTGCACCTTCGAAGTGCAAAGTACTTCTACAAGACTGGCAGGATTCTAATCATGTACTCACCCTGGATGGTGAGCAGTTAGAAGTAGTCGGGAAGTTCGTGTATCTGGGTAGTTGCATAAGTGCTGGTGGGGGTGGGGGTGATGAGATCAATGCACGTATAATGAAAGCCAGAGTGGCTTATGCCAATCTGGACCATCTTTAGCGCCTTCATGATTTTAGTCTGGCTGTAAAAGTTCGGATCTATAATGCATCGGTGAGAGCAGTTTTGCTCTATGCTTGTGAAACATGACCTCTCCGAGTTGAGGACGTTAGACGACTCTCTGTGTTCAATCATCGCTGTCTCCGAAGGATTGCTGACATCCAGTGGCAACACCATGTTGGTAATGCAGAGATTCGGCATCGTGTGTTCGGTCACAGAGACGATAATGCAATTGGTGTCACCATCTTGAAACACCGACTTCGGTGGCTTGAGCATGTTCTACGAATGTCGTCCCAGAGAATTCCACGTTGTGCATTATTTGCCGACTCTGGGACTGGTTGGAAGAAGCGGAGAGGTGGTCAGTGTATGATATGGTTTCGTGGTATGAAAGAAAGCTGCAAAGGGCTGGCTCCTAATGGTCCTTCACGACTCCCTGGTTGGGGTCCTAGAGATGGTGCGACGCAGTGACTAGAGACGTTATCAGATATGGCTCAGAATAGAAGCCAGTGGCGATCCTGCTGTAACCTTTTACTTCATAAAAAGTGGTTGTATCTTCCTTAACTGAAAGATTTCTCCTGATTGTACCTTTCAGTTTCCCCCATTATTACTATCATTATTATTACTACACTACCTTACACTAATCTGTTCTTTTCTTTTTTTCCTACACGCACCTTACCTTCTTTCTCTTCCCATTCTCATTGCTTTGTGTGGCACATATACATTTGGTGCCCCCTTGTACCAATATTTATGTGTTCAAAAAAATAATAAATAAATACCACCTTCAATACAGGCGATATATCTATCTGCCTATCAGAGCACGAGTACACAGCTCGGTAACCAACTCTCTATTAAATCGAAAACAGAAATTGTGTACGTTATTGGTTTGTCTTGGCCAGGAGGCTTCTAGTTCTATCCTGAAACCAGCTACCATAGTGATTCAAGGTAGGTTGAACGGTATACATAACATGTGTTCCAGCCACCTCATTCGATGAAGATTCACTACTTCATAAATCGATTCACTACTTATACCTAATACCCTACTTTTGACCTCGACATCGCTTACTCAGTGATCTAGAAATGCTAAGCAAGCATCTATGGCCAAAAACTAGTGGTCTACGAACATCCTCTATCTCTCTAAGTTCACATTTCACGGCCATAAAGTAAAACAAATAGGACTTATTGTGAAGTATACTCGTTACTTTGTTGGTAGGAAAGTATTCCACCTAAACCACAGGTGACTTAAGTTGGTGAAAGTAAAGTTTCTAGATCCATGCTGAGATTTCGCCAGACACCAGCCCATTAGGGTTTATGAAAATTACAAAATAAGTAAAGTGTTCATAATATATTTAGTTCCTTCAAATACTTTTGTCCCAAACCCCCATGTTCTTAAAATAATCAACTGGATAATATCTGGACAAAAAAGAATAAGTACGAATTCAAACTAAAAAATACCATTCTTTGAACCGTATTAAGGTCTTGATTCTGAGTATCTCCATATACATCCCTTTACATTCCATGTTTTTTAACCATATTTCCAATGTTTAATCGTTCTTATTACCATTTTCACTACTAGTACTTGGACTCCTTAGCCACTCATCTTGTTAATTTCCTTTCGTTGGGCTGATGTGGTATGGGGACATGGGCCAATACATTTGTGCTAGGCTCTACGTTATGACTGACTGACAGTCTCTTTGGGCTGAGATTCCAGACTACTCGGTATGAAACTCTACTTGACCTAAGTTTCTTGACAGTCTGGATTTGTCAGGTGTAACTGTAATATTTTGGGAACGTGGTCACGGGGCAGTCAATAATCTCCTATGAGACAGAATTTTAAACTGGTTGATCACTGGGTAAGTGACCAATGTCATGTTTATCCATTCCTTAGTGATGATTAAGTTCCGTCGATCGAGTTTCAATGAATTTATTGTCCTACGTGACTCGACATCACGAACACTATGTTTTGACACCAGGTGGTCGGTAAAAAACCGTGGACCTGAGCACCGTGCTAGTTGGTACCCATTACCAAGGGATGCCTGAATAATATAACAATCAGATGATACATACATACGTATGTTCACATTAATGTTGATATGGTACTTTGTTCTACGGAAATGGGATATGCAAAAGAAATAGAAGTATACAAGATAAAATAGAACATACCATAAAATGGATGACTGACTAAGACTTCCCAAAGTTTCAGTGATAATATCTCAGTAAATCTTTCAAAGAAAACTGAAAGTCTTGACTCTTCCAAAAGTCGTTCAGCCTGAAATTCTTTATTGGTTTGTTGATTAGTAGTAGTATGAATGACGATCTGTTTTTTATTGTGAAAATTATTTTCTGTTCGCATCCATATATTTGTTCTTCGTCTAAACGCTGCACGAAATATTTCCACAATAAAATCATGTGTAGCATTTGCAAACAATCCTGTTGACAGCACATTCCAAACACCTATTGTTTTCATTAAATGATAGGTATACTTAAAGAAATTCGGATAGACATAAATTGGAGATGATAAACCAAATAGAACAAGAGGCGAACTGAACTGAACTGGTGCCAATGGTTCATAGCCTAACTTGATAAGAGTCCAGGCAACACGAAAAGGATTAGCCAATTGTCTCAGGAAGTAAACTTCAATACCAGCTACAGGTTGTTGTTCTACATAAGGTACAACTGTACACGATACATGTTGTGAAAATTCATCAGTATCACTGTCAATCATGGAGTCTAGGAAATAGACAAAAATATAAATAATTAATATAGTATTTGTCATGCAAATGAAAAACTATGATTTAAAATATATTTACCACGTCACAATATTACACCATCAAATGATAAATTGAAAATAAGTATAAATATAAATTGAACAAGTTAAAATAAATGGTCACTTATTATTAACGTGGAACCTTGGATGAGTGTGTTTTCGGTCTAAGTTGGTGCACCACAAAATGAAACATAGGAAGGGGAAATTTTTCAAAATCAACGAAAACTTAAACATGAGAAATACATTCCGAACGAAACAAATGGAACCACAAACTGAATAGTTAAACACAATATTAAACAGACGTTTGAGAGAAATATACAAAATAAATGCAACTGCTCAATTTTGACTGAATTACAACCAATATCATTTGGATTATCTGGGATTATATTTGCAGATAATGGAAAATTTTGGGAAACGAGTAAACCGTTTCCTCTTGCTTCATCATAGAACGCAAGATCTTATTTATTTTGTATTTTGAATAATGACTTTATTTATTTTAACATATAGATATTGGTACAAGGAGGCACCAAATACATATGCGCAACACAAATCTCATTCGATATATGTGAGGGCTGTGATACTGCTCGCGTGCCCAAACCAAAGCAGGTGATTTTCTTAGGGGCCACACCCCGAGCCTTGGACCTGAAGGTCTGATCCACAAGGCAGTGAAGCATCGTAAGGAGATGCAGTCTTATGGAAGCTGGTGACCAACAATTGGTTCATACACCATTTGTTCCCTCAGGATACTGGAGCCCATGTGCACCATTGGTTTGGAATCCGGTTAAAGCGCTGGACATTCGCTTTTCGTCCTCTCATTTCCGTAAACAACACCCTCGCCACGAGAAGGCAGCGAGTAGGACTTCCCTGGCAGAGGCTATATACGCGTGGCCATGTGAGCATTTCGAGAGGGAGAGCGGACTCTCTCCACTCTCGGCCGTACCAGGGCATTTGGGGGCTTTTCTCCCTACAATCTTCTAGACTTGCAGAGGGTCGAGACACAAGTATTACGAACTTCTTGATACTGAGATTTTGTCTCGCCAGTATCCAGCAACCTAAATCTCTTCCACCTCCTCTTACGGAGGTTACGAACCTCCTCAGTGAACCAGTGGCGAGTTTCTCGGATAATTTGATGTAGTACAAAGAATGTGAGGTGCGGTAAACTTTGTGCATCTCAAGCAGTGGCTAACTAAGTTGCACGTTCCGCTTTTGTGATATGTTATCGATAACGGTAAATGAGATGGTATAATTAAGGAATAAAGGTACTCCACTTTTACACTTTTGGGTTCTGTCGGTTTTTACTAATGTAAAATTTTGAACATCAAGTTCCCTATTGTCTATAGACTGAGTCAGCCAAGTTTCTGTGACGACAGTTACATCCATCTAGGTAGAATATATCTGTACACCTAGCTCCTATCGCTTATTAAAATCCTGTGATTTGTGTGACAGATCCGAAGACCATTTAAGTAGCTTCAAATTGTACCCAGGGTGGCTTCGGCATCATTCTCTGTCGAATCCTCATAGCCCGAAAATTTATAATTCTAAGTTGCTTAGTTTTAGTACCATTACATCGCGCTTTTTTAAACGGCCCACGAGCGACAAGACTTTACCAACAAGAACTCCTGAACTTTTTAATTCATGTACATTATATGGCATCAAGTCCCTTTCATTGGGCGATTGAAGTACAATTTTTAGCAGCCTGGTTTAGTCCTATTGCAAGTCCGCTTGGCTACCTAGTCGACAAACCTTGAGCAAGATAACCCTAGAAATACCTTGATGCATCAGCTAGTTAAGTGGATCTTTTACCAACCCAATGTCGTGCTCAACGAGTTTTGAGCTGTTTTTGCTCTCCTTGACTCTGAAAGATGACTGACCTGTCACTAGAATCATTGACCTATTTCTTAAATTCTGTTAAAGAAACATGAGGTTATTTTTTATCCATGATTTATGTCCAGTCATCAGTTTGCACAGGGGTAGCAATCACAGTTGTGCTACACACATTGTGAGACCTGGATGATTGTCAGAGATTTGGGCGGTCAGGTTTTTGTTTCTCCTGCCAAAAGCAGACCTAGCCATGAGGTTGAATTTTCCAGGCGTCTTCCAAATGCTTTCACTTTGAGAGCTGGAAACAGAAGTAATCTACCTTCATGGGTGCTTCCTCCTTAGACCCATGTAAGTCCATCGACTTTGGGATTATTTGGGATGACAGCAAAGCCATCTATGTATCGACAAAGCATTACTAAATCCGTCATGATTGCACTTACTAATATGCATTTTAACAGCCTAAAACATTGTAGAGGTCTCAAAAGACAAGCACTTAGTATCGGAGGCTCATTGCTGGAATGACTATATTCATCCACTTTCACACAACCTTTTGGAAGCCGCAAAAGTTGGAGCTGTACGGACTCACTGCTACCATCTTTCGCACTCAACGCACTGTATGCTTTCTGAATGATATTTATAGCACAGGCTAGGTATTGATAATTGCTTCTTAAGAAGCAATTATCTAAAAGTTTAGTCTAAAATTTTGGACTGTCTAGTCATCAGTCAGCTGTTTAAAAAAAGCAAAGACACTCAAACACGCAGATAATAAAGCTGATAACTAGCAAAAAATGTGGGAATTATGAACTACTAAGTTCAAAAGTGAGACAAACAAAAACAAAACTGGTATACTCAATTAAAGAATGTGTGTAAAATTACTTTTGGAAAGTAACGATATTCTTGGTGTTGCTTCAACTGATGTTAGCTCAATTAAAGTGAGAACGGCGAACTTGATGTGTAATAAACAATCAAAACTATAATTCTAACACAGTGAAGTAAAAAACACCACCCTACTCTTAAATAAAGCGCCTTTACTTCGGTAATAAGATGTTCGGCATCCTCAAGGTCGTGCGGTCAATATTTCTGAAGGAATGTTCACATGGATATTGCCTTCGAATTGGCTTGTGAAGCACTCAAATGTAACGAAGTTCCAGTAGGATGTGCTTTTGTTTATAATGGAGAAGTAATTGCATCTGGTCGCAACGAAGTAACTCATTAGTAGGAGTTTTGTGATTTCTAGGTGAATGCAACTAGAGATGCTACTCAACATGCCGAGATGGTTACTATTAGACGACTGGAACAATGGTGTCGAAATAACGAAAAGGAGCTTGACAAGGTTTTGACCGAATGCGACCTTTTTGTTACAGTGGAACCCTGCATTATGTGTACGGCTGTTATACGATCAGTTTCAAAGTGTTTTAAATGGTTCTGGGTGGAACAGAAGTTTTCGCTTAGCGAATGTAGCGACAAATAAATGCTCAAAATCAATAACATTGTACTTCTTTGAAATTTAATACTGACTACATTACTTTTAATGTACTCACCCAGCTGAAGGCGCTCGGTCATGCATCCGCACCAGATCACGAATGGGAACGCCGAGCTCAACTTCTCCTGCAATCTCTGACTAGTTTAGATTATTCGACTTTCCATATATTTATGACATATCAAATATATCTTCGAAACTCCTCGCCTCTTACTTTTTATTTCACTGGGTGAGCACGATTCAATTACGAGTGTAACTGATTAAATTGTTGCCAAACTACAAATACTTGTGGCATTCTTCACTGGTGAGCCGACGTGATCTGGTACACCGACTCGTAAACTGTAAGTCTTTTCCTGTTAGGGACTTCATATATCATTACTCTACCTAAATTTTTATATATTGTGATGTTTTTTTCATATTTTTGGATCTTTTTTCTCTCGTTCATTCCTGTACTTCATCTTCGCCTTAACAGAACAGACTCCTAAGGTACTTAAGATCAAGACTTTGACACCACCCTCATTCTAGCTAGTGTCATGCTGGCTGGACAACATCAAAGTCTGGTTCTACTACATGAAAGCTGACCTCTACGAGCATCGAATGACCGATGCACGTGCACCATTCCTCGTAGTAGTAAAGGCACTAGCACGCGAATTCTGCAAGTACAAACACCTAGTATGTTTACTAGTGATGTTTCGGAACCTTATGAAACTGTAAAACGGCCTATTCTGAAACGCAGGAATCTAACAGATCAACAAAGGTTGAATCAACTCCTTAATAACATCGATCTTCAACATGGCTCGGCAACGGACATGTCGTTACGAATTAGCGATGTAATTGATCATAGGACTTTCGACGATGACCTGTTTAAACAACTTTTTTGTCTAACCTTCCTCAACAGGTGCAAGCTGTACTTGTCTCGATTCAAAACAACACCGTAGACGAGCTGGCTGAATCTGCCAACCTCAATCTGGAGATAACCAAATCTTCTAACTCCGATGTTTCTTCAGTCAAAGAAAAACCCCAAGCGACACATAATGACATTAAGGAACTATGTCATACGTTGACACGTTACCTTTGTATTCATAATGACCGTGAACAATCGCAAACCTGTAAAAGGAGTTCTTCACGTAAACGATCTGTCTCTAGCCCACGAGGGACAGATTACCCCGACTGATGCTGGTATCACAATCAGTAAGGAAGATCTCGAAACTACAGTAAACCCTGCAATTTTCAGAACTCCAAACCGACCGACATTAAAAACGTTTCAGGAAACTTCCCGGCTGGTACGCTTTAATGGCAACCGTAACTGGTGAACATAGCCATCTATTAAACGTCACTGATGTGATTGCGAAAATTGGCTACCTCATCGATGACGGTGCACAAGCTAGCGTTCTTCCGGCAAATTCTATTGACCAATTGCACAAACCCGTTTTCAACTTACAGGCGCCAAACGGAAAACCGATCACCACATATGGTTAGTGGTACTTCTATCTTAAGGTGGGTTTACGCAGACCCATCCACTGAATTTTCGTTTTTGCATACGTTTCTATGCCAATCATCGGTACAGACTTGCTACAGTATCATAATTTACTAATCGACACGCGCAAATGGAGGTTAGCAGACGGAAACAATAATTTGTCTGTTTGTGTAACTTCTTTTTTC